CACGAGCACGGGTATGGTGCTGACAAACCTAGAAACAATCTGTGTGAACCGGGATTCGAACCCACAATCATAAGTTTCTGGCGTGCCCAAAGGACGCAACTCTGCACAGCGAATCGCAGCGCCTTAGACAACTGGGCCACCCGTGCCCCCTGTTAGGAACAGACAACCCAGTAATCTTACACCCATCGGGGGAAGATATATGTACATCATCTCTTATAAGACTTTACAGCTTATTTAACTACACTGTCAAACACATGAACATTTTTATATCTGAAAAGAGATTTGTTGCAAGGCTAGGGGCTTCCACAAACACATTGACCTCAAGAGGTCACCACTTTTGACTCACATCATGGTTGAAAGAAGGGTGGGGCAACTTGTTCTGCAAGCCTGTTGGAGGGGATTCCACTTAACCTCCAGTGAAGTACACCAAGACGACAGATGTTATAAAGCAAAGGGAAGGTCCTTGTGGGAAGTTATCTAGGTCACTTAAAGCGACTTCAGCATGCACTTTGAAAGGTTGTCATGGTGATGGAGATACAGCAGCAAATATTCAAGCTTGCATAACAGATGTATCTTTGTGTGACACTCCCTGATAGTGCATGCAAGCAGAAATGTGACACATATTTAATGATCATTTATAGACTTAAATTGGGTCTCCAAAATGAAAATATTCAGGGGAGCAATACCCAAAAATATGACAGTCTTAAGGGGAGGATCATAAATACATTTATATCTGGGGAGGGTCATGTAGTAATTGACATTATATAATAAAATATATAGTGCTTTTGCATTTTGTCTTTTCTGAGAGGGTCATGAAAAACTGTACAAGGACATGGGGAGGGCCATCCAAAAATATGACAAGCAATAGGGGAGGGTTATTATTTTCTGTACATATGTGCATCAAAAACGCCTGACTGAAATTTCTTTTGGCAATGTTGTTAGTTATGCGAGGTTGCAGGTTTCATTTTCATATCATAGAAGATGTAACATAAATCATGACTTTTAAGGGGCAGTCGGGTAGCCTAGTGGTTAAAGCGTTTGCTTGTCATGCTGAAGACTGGGGTTCGATTCCCGACATGGGTAGAATGTGTGAAGCCCATTTCTGGTGTCCCCCGCCATGTTATTGCTGGAATATTACTAAAAGCGATGTAAAACCAAACTCACTCATTCACAACTTTTAACCAGTGAAAAAAACATCAGAGGCATATTAAATGTTTATAATTATTTTAAAACTTTTTAAATCTTGCCAGTGTGAATGTAGCTGTGACACTGGCACCAAAATAAAGGGATGTCTAAACCTGCCATCCAATCCTCATTTTTTACCAAGCATCCATGGGGTTGAGGGGACTTTTTCTGACCAGAATCCTCATCAAGCACCCATGGGATGCAGGGGACATGTTCTGTCCAGAATCCTCATCAAGCATCAACGGGATGCAGGGGACATGTTCTGTCCAGAATCATCATCAAGCATCAACGGGATGCAGGGGACATGTTCTGTCCAGAATCCTCATCAGGCATCCATGGGATGCAGGCGACTTGTTCTGTCCAGAATCCTCATCAAGCATCCATTGGATGCAGGGGACATGTTCTGTCCAGAATCCTCATCAAGCATCAACGGGATGCAGGGGACATGTTCTGTCCAGAATCCTCATCAGGCATCCATGGGATGCAGGGAACATGTTCTGTCCAGAATCCTCATCAAGCACCCATGGGATGCAGAGGACATGTTCTGTCCAGAATCATCATCAAGCATCTCAGGGATGCAGGGAGCATGTTCTGTCCAGAATCCTCATCAGGCATCCATGGGATGCAGGGGACTTGTTCTGTCCAGAATCCTCATCAAGCATCAACGGGATGCAAAGGACTTGTCCTGTCCAGAATCCTCATCAAGCATCAACAGGATGCAGGGGACTTATTCTGTCCAGAATCCTCATCAGGCATCAATGGAGTGCAGAGGACATGTTCTGTCCAGAATCCTCATCAAGCATCCACGGGATGCAGGAGACTTGTTCTGTCCAGAATCCTCATCAAGCATCAACGGGATGCAGAGGACATGATCTGTCCAGAATCCTCATCAAGCATCCATGGGATGCAGGGGACTTGTTCTGTCCAGAATCCTCATCAAGCATCAACAGGATGCAAGGGACTTATTCTGTCCAGAATCCTCATCAGGCATCCATGGGATGCAGGGGACTTGCTCCGTCCAGAATCCTAACACTGGTCTAGCAATGAATAAGGTAAGTCTCTCCTTCCTTTGACAAAACAGGCATGTCATTTTCAAATGGAGTGCATCTTATTTAAGAAGATGTGGAGGCAAAGACAACTGTTTTCCTTGGGACAAACCAGTCATTCCGACCCGATGCTTGGACCCCTGTGACTGTCAGTGACTCACTACTCAACTTGCTGTTTGGCCAGCCACATTCAGAATCATGAATGAACATTTGTGTTTTGAATTATTGGCAACTGGGAACTTATTCTGTCCCAGAATTCCCCCGGGGAGACAAGCATGGTGTGGTCAGGATGTATGTTACCCCTGAATCTTCACAGAAAAACAGCCGGGTATGATGGCTTGCAAATCAGGCATGAGAATAAGATCTATTCACACTCAGCGGCCATTGTGCCCTTCTAATCCACACTATAGCATCTTGTGTCTTATGTTACCAGTACAAGCGTCTCAGCCTCACATTTCCACTGGAGGAATGACAAGATAAATATTTAGAAAACTTAAAGCAACAATAATTATTAGATTTTCATCCAAACATTATATTCTTTTAATTTTGATAAATAAAACAAAAATCATGTGAGGAGGGGTGTTTTGTCATGAGGAAATCGGGAATTAAAATCTTATAATTATTTATGTCCTAAGGATCAGACAGTGTCTCAATTTCCTGGTGCAAGTAATATTTCACCTGTGTGAAAAGCATTATCTGAGTAAACAAAATGTATGTACTTTGAAATGTAACAAATCAGGGATTGTTGACAGTTTATATTTAGAAGAACAGATTATCATTTATTGTTTCTTGACCAAATTACAAATATCCTATTCCAAGCAACATGTATGTATACAAGCACAGCCCCACAGCTGGGAGATAATAAAGACATGGCGTCAGCTGTACAACAAGGTATGAGGAGTTCCCTCCCTTGGTCCCTGCCGCTTCTCACAGCACTGTTGTACAACTGTTTGTCACAAAGCAGTTGAAGACCTGTTTGTGTGTGTACTGTGAAAAATGTCATGTGAAAAACTTGATGAAACTGATTAGAATACTAAAGACTGCTCCTCTTTGTTACCATGGAAACATGGATGGTGGGAAAACGAACTGCCCCTGACAATCTTAGCAATATGACACTGTTTACTTCAGCATGAGGCAAACACTGACTATAGAGTTGGTAAGATCTTGATGGAAAGAGGTGACCAAATTAAGAGTGAGTGAGTTGGGTTTAACGCCACTTTTAACAGCATTCAAGTTATATCGTGGCATGTCAGCTTAATGTTGGAGGAATGCACGAAGTGATGCAGGTCGCAGACGTTTACCACTTCAGTGAAACCCACGAGCACGGGTATGGTGCTGACAAACCTAGACACATAATTGGGGCGAACCTGGATTCAAACCCACAATCTGGCGTGCCCAAGGGACACAACTCTGGGCCAACCTTGCCCCCCCAAATTAAGAGTTCATAGAACATTTTAATAAGAATGAATGCTGACTCTATGGTATCACAGAGAAAGACACAACCATCCTACAGATAGAATGCTTTCTTTCAAACATTATCAATGATGAAGCCATTGGCTTGTGAGTGAGGTGGTTGAACACCATTGACACAGGTAGTAATGTTCTCTACTCTGGTGAATGTGTATGTGTATTATAGTTGGTTGGTTGGTTTGTTGTTTAACGCCACACTCAGCAATATTCCAGCTATATGACGGCGGTCTGTAAATAATCAAGTCTGGACCAGACGAACCAGTGATTGATATCATGAGCATCGATCCACACAATTGGGATCAATGACATGCATCAACCAAGTCAGCGAGCCTGACCACCCGATCCTGTTAGTCGCCTTCTACAACAAGCATAGTCGCCTTTTATGGCAAGCATGGGTTACTGAAGACCTATTCTACCCCGGAATCTTCACAGGGCATGTGTATTATAGGATGTCTATTATAAGGATACAACCACCTCACATGTTGTTACAGTAATTCTGTGCCATTTGATTGTCTAACCAAGCAATTGTTTGCACATTTATATTTTACAAAAAAAAAGGCCATGCCCACTGACGGACTGCCGTTTCCTGATTGGTTAACAACAGAATGGGTTGGGCTTGTGATGCATTTTTGCGCTGAATAATGTCACATATTTCATCTTGTTGTCTACAAAATCTTATGTGCTAATGATTTATATAGATATATCTTGTGTGTGGTATCTCAAAGAGTAACAAGATCAATCATGATTCGGCAACAAGTGGCGTGACATTAAACATAATGGCATCCTCACATGCTAGCCAGACGACATTTTACAAGATGGTGGAGGTGTTGAGTGTGCAGTTATTGTGGACATGGTGTATGTTTCAAGCCATACAAGACATTTTTCGGTAGTAGGGCTGGGATGGGTAACTCAAGTATTTGGGTCGGGTGGGTACTGAGTTAGACCAAGGTACCCACAGGACTACCCGACCTGTGGTTAGTCACATGATATAATGTCTCATGATAACAATAAAACTCCATGGTTACACTACAAGTTACTAATGTTCGCATTGCTTTCTGACTATGCACACATTCCTTCTCAATATGTTTCAGTCACCTTCAGTGTATGCATGATCAGATCATTTTAGACGTGTATCTAAACAGTTTTTGCCAGGGCTCCGGTAAAACCATTCCCAATCTGACATTTTTTACCCAACTTCAGCGGATACCCAGTTAGGGTTGGTTAATAAGGGGTCAGATACCCAGGTGGTAAATTTGGACTTTTTCCCGCCCTATTTGGCAGGCCTGAATTAAGACTTACCTCCTGAGAGCTGTTTCAAGACTTTCGAAGTCATTCTGGGACTGTTTGATATTGCTGGTGACTCGATTCAGGAATTCCTCAAAGTCCCCGAGAAGTTCAGGCTCATCTGCACGCAGCTTAACCCATAATGCCTTGATTGTGTCGTCACTGGGGAGGAAAATAAATAATGATCAATAATGATTAGCCTAACACAAGGAAAAAGTTCTCAGGAAATGTTTGATTTATCCAAAGAAAAGGTCTACTTTATCCGAGTTTTAAACACATCAGAAAAAAGTTTCTCAACATGAACAGAATTATATCAATCATGAACTATAGCAAGGATTCAGCACATAAAAGTTCATTTGAAAAACAAGCAAAAAAATGTTTATAATCAACAAAATAATGACTTGCATTGTTACTTCGTTGGCCATGCGTATACCCCATTAATTATTGAGGAAGAAAAACTAACCTTGAACAATCACAATTCGTCTGTGAAATGTTATACAAACACAACACATACTGACATTGTACTAAATCAAAATTACACTTGCAATGCTCTTTTACTAATACCAGCTGCTTATATCAATTTTTTTAGAGTTTGTGATATTGCAAACATTTCCTTGTGACATAACGGATCTCATCACTGATGCAGCACCTAAGAAGGCTGGGTGACATGTGCCTTCCTTGTTGATAAATACCCTGCTACCACAGCATTGCTTGGAAGTGACATCACATTCCCATCTCTCCTGTCAGTAACGAAGCCAGGTAGCTAAATTCAGGGTGTTTATCATTATATCATTGAGGATGGGGTGGAACAGTTCTACCAGGACTTGCCCCTTCAGCTCTATGAAAGCCCACACAGAAACCCTATTCATTTGAATGGTATTGGGCATTTATAAGTGCTTTTCCTGGACCACAGTTAGCACAAGGAATTATGCTTAAGAGACTTCAGCATGAGGTAGCCCAGTTTATTAGGTGTACCCAGGGAGCATGGGTTAGACACTAGAACACTAAGGTTTGGCCACTAGGTCTGCTTGTACCAGGTCCCTTGATAATGTCCCTTGTGACACAGCTACAGTTATATGAACTACCTGGCGAATACCATAGATTATCGGGGGGCACGGGTGGCCCAGTCGTCTAAGGCGCCACGATTCACTGTGCAGAGTTGCGTCCCTTGAACATGCCAGAAACCTATGATTGTTGGTTCGAATCCCGGTTCGCACAGATTGTTTCTAGGTTTGTCAGGACCATACACGTGCTCGTGGGTTTCACCGAAGTGGTAAACGTCTGAGACATGCATCACTTCGGGCTTTCCTCCCACGTTAAGCTGACACGCCGTGATATAACTGGAATATTTTTAAAAGCAGCGTTAAACCCAACTCACTCACTCACTTACTATTAGGTGTACACCAGTTTATTAGGTGTACACCAGTGACCTTGAGCTCCCAGAAAGAATTATCAGTGCAGGAGAGGTAAATTAATTGTACCGTTTACAAAGTGTCCTGCTATGTTTGTTTGTTTATTGTTTAACGCTGCACTCAGTAATATTCCAGCTATATGACATCAGTCTGTAAATAATCGAGTCTGGACCAGACAATTAAATGCTCGACATTATGAGCATCGATCCATGCAATTTGGATTGGATGACATGCATCAACCAAGTCAGCGAGTCTGACCACCCGATCCCGTTAGTCGCCTCTTACGACAAGCATAGTCGCCATTTACAGCAAGCATGGGTTGCTGAAGACCTATTCTACCCCGGATCTTCACAGGTCGAGTGTCCTGGTAAAACGTTGTTATTTTATTGCAAAAATATTTCTGATTTTTGTTTATTTGCTGTTGTTACACTATGCACTATGAGGCTGGACCAGACAATCCAGTGATTGATAATAGGAGCAAAGACCCAGCAATCAACCAAGACACCAAGTCTGGCCACCCAATCCACTAAAGCACTTCATACAACCAACATAGGCTGCTGGGAACCAATTTGAACCCTGAATCCCAATGGTGGAAATATTAATGATAATTGCATGATTCTCATGATTAGAAACAGTTGGTCGAATCCATAAACAGAGATACCTCAAAGTGTTGCGATACCCAGAAACAAGCAATGAGTGAGTGAGTATGGTTTTACGCCAATTTTAGCAATATTCCAGCAATATCATGGCCAAGACACCAGAAATGGGCTTCACACATTGTACACGTTGGCAATCAAACCCGGGTCTTCGGCATGACAAGTGAACTCTTTAACCACTAGGCTACCCCACCGCCCCCCCAAAAAGCAAGACCCGTAAAGATTCTGAGGTAGAACAGGTCTTCAGCAACCCATGCTTGTCGTAAAAGGCGACTATGCTTGTCGTAAGAGGCGACTAACGGGATCGGGTGGTCAGGCTTCCAGACTTGGTTGATACATGTCATCGATCCCATTTGCGTTAATCGATGCTCATGATGTTAATCACTAGATTGACTGGTCCAGACTTGATTATTTACAGACCGCCATCATATAGCTGGTATATTGCTGAGTGTGGCGTTAAACAACAAACCAACCAACCAACAACCAACCCAAAAAGCAATGAGATATTACGGTGAACAGGTGGATATTCACCAATACCAACACGACCAATGAAAATAGAAACAACAGATTTCATTAACAGTTCTCATATTATATTCTGCGCTGGCACAAACCCATTGTAACATCCCAAACATGATTAATTTTCTTTCATTTCCAAATTTATTAGCCACAAAACAGTTTAATATCAACATAAACATTTACATATTTATCATATTTCCGCTTGTGCCCGTCATAACTTCCTCATGAAACGTTACGCTGATTTCACACAAATATTAATCAATACAGCTCATCTCATAGCACAGCTGTGTTCCAGCTATTGTAACAGACATACTCAATAGTGTACCTTGCATTCAACCAGACAAATACATGCTGTATTGATCACAACACGGGCCTGCCAAAACAGCAGTTAAATCATTAAGCCACGCCCATATTGCAGAGGATAGTTACACATGGCTGGATTCAAAAAGCTATCGTGTCGTTTTTTCTTGCCAACATGGGCTGATTAATTAGTTGTAAAATACAACTGCCATCAATTTAGGATTTGTTATGACATATTGTCAATACATGTAATTTCATAAACTATTATCGACCAAGTTTCATGTTTTTTTATCGACATGAGTGTTGTTTGTTGTTTACGCCACACTCTGTAATTTTCCAGACATGTGATGGCGTTCTATAAATAATCAAGTATATTCTTTTTTACATTCATGACTTTTTGGGTCTCCAGATCTGTAAACCTAGAAATAAAACATAGGAAACCTTAGCCGACAATACTGTAGCTGTGAGTGAGTGAGTGAGTGAGTTGGGTTTAACTCTGCTTTAATTAGTATTCCAGTCATATCGCGGCGTGTCAGCTTAATGTGGGAGGAAAGCATGAAGTGATGCAGGTCTCAGACGTTTACCACTTCGGTGAAACCCACGAGCACGGGTATGGTGCTGACAAACCTAGAAACATAATTGGGGCGAACCGGGATTCAAACCCACAATCATAGGTTTCTGGCTTGCCCAAGGGACGCAACTCTGCACAGCGAATCGTGGCGCCTTAGACGACTGGGCCACCCGTGCCCCCCGATAATCTATGGTATTCGCCAGGTAGTTCATATAACTGTAGCTGTGTCACAAGGGACAATTTCATCAGACCTGGTACAAGCAGACCTAGTGGCCAAACCTTAGTGTTCTAGTGTCTAACTCAAGTCAGGTGAGTGAGTGAGTTGGGTTTAACACTGACATGCAACAGTAGCTGCTTTGCCAACGTCTTCTCTTGACTGAGGAAAGCCTCAAGTGATGAAGTTCTCAGACATCTACCAATCATGAGAATCCTACAGGCAAGGGGATTGTGCTGACAAACTGAGAATCTGGAGCAGAGCGAATCTGGGATTCAAACCCACTGTCATCAGATTCTGGTGCTGATACGGGTAGGGCTAGGACAGGTAACTCAGGTTGGGTGGGTACTACATAGGCCCCGGGTACCCACAGGACTACCCGGACCCGTGGTTAGTCACGTGATATATTGTTTAATGATAAAAAATATCTAAAACTCTACGTTAACACTTCCAGTCACTAATGTTCCCATTTCCTTTCTGACTATGCACCCATTCCTTCTGGTTTATGTTTGAGTAAAGATAAAAAACTTCAGTCAACTTCAGCGAATGCATGACCAGATTGTTTTATATCTGTATCTAAATATTTTTTTCCAGAGCACACGTCACACTTTTCCCAATCGGACAGTTTGTACCTACCTCTTGAGACCTACAGTTGGTATCCAGGTAGGGTCGGGTAATAGGGGGTACACGGGTAGTAAATTTGGACTCGTCCCAGCCCTAGTTGCTAGGGATCTTTATATTCTTTACCTGGTAACCCTACAGATGCTTAGTAGACTCACCCAAACATAATATTGAGGCTAGGGTTAGCAAATGTGTCTTAATACAAGCCCACCTGGCTAATGTATATGAACATTTTTTTATTTATTAACAAATGGAGAAAATAGAATGGCGACAATATATGTCATAAAATATCTCTCCCCCCCCCCCCCCCCCCCCCCCCCCCTCCTGTCTATAGCCCCAATATATACGATGACATGGAGACCTATAAGTGTGTATTGATCCATCAAGGCCTAACCCAACGCTGATGTCCCATATCCTCAATTGGGGCCCTGCCCTCGCTATCACAGGCCCTGACACTGTATACTGAAGTAGCATTGTATATGGCAAGTCACATCACCTACAGCTGTCTACATGACCTCGTTTCGTCCTGATATACTGTTATGTTTGTGGAAAACTGGCAACCTACATCTCACATATACTACACCGTAACTGATCCACTGGATATTAATAGCAGGGCATCAATGGCCATTACTACCCAACAGCCCTTAACTATACTGCAACACTGCTTGGTCACAGGGTGTACAACCAAATCCCAATAATGTCATCACTCGTTTAAGCTTTCTAAAGCATTTAACTGCATTGAATACTTCAGCGAGTAACTTTTTAATCTAAAACAAACATTAATGTCAAACACTGCTGAGCTAAGAATAATATTATATGATCAAGAGATTATTACCCTTAATGTTTCCGTATAATAAGTATAAATAGTAGGAGTAAAAATACATGTTATGCTAGCCAAAAGTTTGTTTCTAATGATACAGATACCGTATTTGTAGTAATAAGTGCCCAGGGCACTCTCAAAATTAGATAAAGGGGGCTCTTATTAGAATATAATTTTGGTTGAAAAGAGTTGAAAGATAGTAAATTTCGTGGTTTATGCTGACAGCCTGAAATGAGACAAAAGTAAAGTCTGTGCGTATTATACACGACAGATATATTTTCCAGAATTTAATTGTCCATAATTAAGGGTGCATATAACCCACGAGTGCATATTTTACACGAATAAATAATCGACATTGATATCAATCGGAAAGGGTGCTAATTGGGATTGTTCACTAGCCAATATATTAGCAAATATCGCCGTGGGCGCTTATTACATCAAATACAGTAATCTCTATTTCCAAAATTCCTGAATAGCAAAGGGCATCAGTTCATGGTTTGATTGCTGTCAGTGCAAAGTTTGATCACAAAATATTGAACCATTTGAATTATTTGAGTTATGCTCCAGAAACAAAGCAAGTCGGACAGGACAGCACCTATTCCATATTACCCTCCAACTTTGTGGTGGAGGATAATATAAGGGGTGAGTGAGTGATGGAGTGAGTGAGTGAGTATAGTTTTACGCCACCTTGAGCAATATTCCAGCAATATCACGTCAAGAGACATGGGAAAAACAGTTTATACATTGTACCCATGTGCGGAACGAAACCTGAGTCTTCGGCATGATGAACCAATGCTTTAACCACAAGGCTACCCCACCGCCCTGGATGATATAAGGACCAATACAAGGGCTAAGATGATGTTAATGACCGGTGAAGGTAAGTGAATGCTGAGCTGAGCCAGCTGTGACCATGGCAACCAGCACCTCCCCAGGTGTTGCCAGATCATTGAAAATGAATGATGAAAGTTGGTATTCGGAGAAACATTGAAGTATAAATGTATAATCGATTGCACCCATCGCACAGCTTGCTGATCAGCACCCTATATTGAGTTACAACAATAAACAAGTGGAAATTATCATGATTAAGTTGTAAGTTGTTGACGTTTACTTGCCACAGTGAACACCCTAGAAGCGATTCACCCTACTTGCCACAGTGAACACCCATGTGTTATAGTGAACACCCTAGAGTAGGAGATACACCCTACTTGCCACAGTGAACACCCATGTGTTATAGTGAACACCCTAGAGTAGGAGATACACCCTACTTGCCACAGTGAACACCCATGTGTTATAGTGAACACCCTAGAGTAGGAGATACACCCTACTTGCCACAGTGAACACCCATGTGTTATAGTGAACACCCTAGAGTAGGAGATACACCCTACTTGCCAGTGATACCCAGGTGATATAGTGAACACCCCAGTATAAGAAATACACCCTATGTTGTGACAGTAAACACTCAGGTGTTGTGGTGAACACCCCAGTATAAGAGATAACCCTACATTACCACAGTGAACACACATGTGTTATAGTGAACACCCCAGTATAAGAGATACACCCTATGTTGCCACAGTCAACACCCATGTGTTATAGTGAACACCCCAGTATAAGAGATACACCCTATGTTGCCACAGTGAACACCCATGTGTTATAGTGAACACTAGAGTAAGAGATACACCCTACTTGCCAGTGAACACCCATGTGTTATAGTGAACACCCTAGAGTAAGAGATACACCCTACTTGCCAGTGAACACCAGGTGTTATAGTGAATACCCTAGAGTAAGAGATACACCCTACTTGCCAGTGAACACCCAGGTGTTATAGTGAACACGATAGTATAAGAGATACACCCTACTTGCCAGTAAACACCAGGTGTTGTAGTGAACACCCTAGAGTAAGAGATACACCCTACTTGCCAGTGAACACCAAGGTGTTATAGTGAACACCCTAGAGTAAGAGATACACCCTACTTGCCAGTGAACACCAAGGTGTTATAGTGAACACCCTAGTATAAGAGATACACTCTACTTGCCAGTAAACACCCAGGTGTTATAGTGAACACCCTAGAGTAAGAGATACACCCTACTTGCCAGTGAACACCCAGGTGTTATAGTGAACACCCTAGAGTAAGAGATTCACCCTACTTGCCAGTGAACACCCATGTGTTATAGTGAACACCCTAGTGTAAGAGATACACCCTTCTTTGCCACAGTGAACACCCAGATGTTATAGTGAACACCCAAGTATAAGAGATACACCCTACTTGCCAGTGAACACCCAGGTGTTATAGTGAACACCCAAGTATAAGAGATACACCCTACTTGCCAGTGAACACCCAGGTGTTATAGTGAACACCCAAATATAAGAGATACACCCTACTTGCCAGTGAACACCCAGGTGTTATAGTGAACACGATAGTGTAAGAGATACACCCCACTTGCCAGTGAACACCCAGGTGTTATAGTGAACACCCAAGTATAAGAGATACACCCTACTTGCCAGTGAACACCCAGGTGTTATAGTGAACACCCTAGTGTAAGAGATACTTTGCTAAACATTCTAGTGGCACAGAAATCAACATTAATCTCAACTTACTCGTTGAAGAATCTTTTGGCGCCAACATTATTCATCATCTCCTGGAAGTGTTTCTCCACCTCCACAGTATTGGCACCGTCATCCTCGTCCTCGTAAACACGCTCCTCCCCCTCCTCCTCCTCCATCGACCCCGTCCCTCCTGGCTTCATCCCCAGGAAACTGCCTGGAACATCACAGAAGCAACCAGGATTACATGTGACCAACAGTGGCTAAACCAGGTAGTACCGGGACATGAGCAATAGCAGGTACTGAGTAGGATACTAAACTACTTACAGCTGACCCACTTATAGACAAAATGTGGGGATTCCTGGATAGAATGTTGCTCATGATATGAATCACTGGATTGTCTGGTCAAGACTTGATTATTTACAGGATGTCATCATATAGCTTGAATATTGGTCAGTGCGGTATTAGTTTTTGGGGGTTTGTTGTTTAAGGCCACACTCAGCAATATTCCAGCTATATGATGGCGGTCTGTAAATAATCGAGTCTGGACCATACAATCAAGTGATTGACATCATGAGCATCACTCCCCGCAATTGGGAGACGATGAGATGCAAACAGCCGTGGCCAAGCACTTGACTACTTGATGCAGCAGACATAGATTCTGGCCATGATAAGCTACTAAACCACTGTATCTACTTGTCCAATACTTTTTAACTCATATAGGGACACTCAGTCTTGTTGAGGCAAACCAGTGGTTGACATTGTGAGCAAAGACCCAGGCAGTCAGTACACAAATCAGTCGTACATTGTGACCCCCCAAAAGTGAAAAAAAATACAAAACCTCCCTGCTCTGAAAATGCCATCCTGGTCTCACAGCTTTGTCCACGTTGTGGTAAAAAATGAATTGCTTGCAAACAACATATAATAAGAAGATATATTAATATGCAGTTTGCAGGGCCTTTGAAATCAGGTGCCAGCCCAGAATGAGGATGATAATAAGCTCATGAACGTGGTAGTTAGAGCTATTGTGTTTTGTCACATTGGGAGACATTTAAAGCTGTCAATCTGTCTCACTTTATCAAGATGACACACGTGACATGTACTTACAACACGACATACTCAATGCTAATGGTAGCAATGGACATAGCTTCCATGTAAACTCCCTTTTGTTCCAACAACACACCTTGACATTAGCTGTGTTAGTGTGATCAACATTGACTAGTCCTGTAGGGGCGGTTGGGTAGCCTAGTGGTTAAAGCGTTCGCTCGTCACGCCAAAGACCCGGGTTCGATTCCCGACATGGGTACAATGTGTGAAGCCCATTTCTGGTGTCCCCTGCCGTGATATGCCTGGAATATCACTAAAAGCAGCGTAAAACCATACTCACTCACTCACTCACTCACTCACTCACTCACTCACTAGTCCTGTACATGATGGATCATCGGATCATAGGTTTTCGGACATCATACGTTTTCGGACGGCCATGTTTATCGCGATTAATCACACTATAGCAAGGGGTGTGCCGTCACACAGACATTGTAAATACACAGATGATGGCCTGTTTTTAACATAAAGTCATCTTTTATAACTGAGTGAGATGTTTTACAGTTGTTCTTGTGATAAGAGAAAAAATTATGAATGTTTCTAAAGCATCCGAAAACCCATAACGTGGGGATGTATTTGGGGTTAAAGTAGACAGAATTCAATATTGTGTAATTTCTTTTAAATGTGAGCGAAATCGATGGGACATGATATTGTTTTGACTCTGCAAATTTCGTATCTACTTGCATGACTGCAGATTTATAATCTCATCTCAATGTGTGGACTCACCTTGGTAATATATTCATAAAACATAAACATACAACAACAAATAGATGTATTACGGTATTGGCCACTGAGCAACTTTGCCCATTTTCAGACCATGAGTGAATTTAACGCCGCTTTTAACAGTATTCCAGTTTTATCGCGGCGTGCCAGCTTAATGTGGGACGAAAGCACGAAGTGATGCAGGTCTCAGACGTTTACCACTTCGATGAAATCCACGAGCACGGGTATGGGGCTGACAAACCTGGAAACATAATCGGGGTGAACCCGGATTCGAACCCACAACCATAGGTTTCTGGCGTGCCCAAGGGACGCAACTCTGCACAGCGAATCGCGGCGCCTTAGACGACTGGGCCACCCGTGCCCCCACAATCCATGAATGAAGGGTCTTTCAAGGCATTAAAATCACTGGCTGTTGGTCTGAGGAGAGTGGAGAGTATTTGGAATGTCTTAAGAAAGTATACCCTTGCTCTATTTTCCCATTACCTGTTTTCCTTGACATTGTTAATTGCCTTAAGGGACTTCATTTCATTGACCCCAGTGGAGATTCCGGGTTACAATAGGTCCCTACCAAGCTTTGCTGGTTGCAAAATGTGACTGGGTGGATCGGATGGTCATACTTGGTCATTTGATTGCATGTCATCATAACCCGATGCAGATCGTTGCTCGTGATATCGACCATTGGATTGTCTGATCCAGACTCAATTATTTACACGGGCTGCTGTCATATAGCTGGAATATTGCTAGGTGTAGTGTTGAACTACAAACAAACAAATAACAATTCCTTCACTGATTATGGTATTATGATTATTGTATTAGCGATTGTCAATAACCAAGGAGATATGAACCAATGTTAACATTGTGGCAATAAAAGCACCATTGCAATATCAACCAATGTTAACAATGTGGCAATACAGTCACCATGACAATATCAACCAATGTTAACAATGTGGCAATACAGTCACCATGACAATATCAACCACTGTTGACCATGTGGTAATACAGAAACCATGGCAATATCAACCAATGTTAACAATGTGGCATTACAAGCACCATGGCAATATCAACCAATGTTAACAATGAGGCAATATAGTCACCATGACAATATCAACCAATGTTAACAATGTGGCAATACAGTCACCATGGCAATATCAACCAATGTTAACAATGTGGCAATACAGAAACCATGACAATATCAATCAATGTTAACAATGTGGCAATACAGAAACCATGACAATATCAACAAATGTTAACAATGTGGCAATACAGTCACCATGACAATATCAACCAATGTTAACAATGTGGCAATACAGAAACCATGGCAATATCAAGCAATGTTAACAATGTGGCAAAACAGTCACCATGACAATATCAACCAATGTTAACAATGTGGAAATACAGAAATCATGGCAATATCAACCAATGTTAACAATATATGGCAATACAGTCACCATAGCAATATTACCAATGTTAACAATGGTGTGTGTGTTTGCTGTTTGATGACACACTCAGCAATATTCCAGCTACAAGAGACAACCAGGCTGTAAGTAATCGATTCTGGACCATACAATTCAGTGATTGATATCATGAGCAACAATCCACACCATCAGGGTACAAGGACATGCTATCAACCAAAGCACCATGCCTGACCACCTGATCCATTCAGCCACCTTCAACAACCAGAATAAGCTGGTGGGGGCCAGTTCTAACCTGGAACCCCCAGAGGGGAAGAACCATAGTCACATTAGCCATGGTAACACTCATGTTAGCCATTAGCCGTTAGCCATGGCAATATGCATCATAAATATGATCAACATGAATGGAATGTTGTAAAATTGAAACAAAACTAAAAGCAAAAAAGGCAAAATTGCAATATTTGTGCTTTGAAAAGCAAAAACTATGTAACCTATAAGCACTACCTGGTCAATGACAGGATCAAATATTTCAAACCAAAGCACTAAGCACAAGCTGATAAGCAGTCGGCAAGCTCAGAAGTGAGACAGCACTTGTCGATTTAGATTAACCAATGATTACGTTCTTATGATTATTGTATTGGAATTTGACAACAACCATGGAGATATCAGCTGATGTTAACAATGTGGCAATACAAGCAAGAGCATGATAAGCATTGATAAGCTAAAGCAAAGTGCTGTGCTGTTGTGTCTCTAGGTGTAAAGTAGTAAGCATTTACACAATTGAATGCTCAGCTTAAGCATGCTTTGCTTTTGATAACAAGTACAGCCTCAAAGTAAGCTCAGGTAAGCAATGGTTTCGATAACATGTACAGCCACAAACTAAGCTCAGGTATGCAATGGTTTCGATAACTTGTACAGCCTCAAAGTAAGCTCAGGTATGCAATGGTTTTGAAAACATGTACAGCCTCAAAGTAAGCTCAGGTAAGCAATGGTTTCGATAACATGTACAGCCTCAACTAAGCTCAGGTAAGCAATGGTTTCGATAACTTGTACAGCCTCAAAGTAAGCCCAGGTAAGCAATGGTTTTGATAACATGTACAGCCTCAACTAAGCTCAGGTAAGCAATGGTTTCGATAACATGTACAGCCTCAACTAAGCTCAGGTATGCAATGGTTTTGATAACGTGTACAGCCTCAAAGTAAGCTCAGGTAAGCAATGGTTTCGATAACAAGTACAGCCTCAAACTAAGCCCAGGTAAGCATTGCTTTGAAAAGATGAGACCAAAGCTCAGGCGAATTAAATCATTGATGATATCTGTGTGCTAACACAAGCACTTAAACCTTGTCACTGCAGCAAACTGCTGAGCAGAAGCATAAATGCCGACTACACATTTGAAGCGCACATGGATACAGCGGACACGAATACAGCATACAAGAATACAGCATACATGACTTAGCCTTCATGTAGCAGCGTAAGCCGACGGCATCTACTGGTCATACATACAATGCAGGGACTGCAATTTTTTACGCCGAAACCTGTGAGTATTCCTTTCAGATGGATTTGATGATTCACACTTGCTAGACACTCTATCCGTATTCGTCCTAATTCTTTCTGTCAATCACAGACACAAAATATTGCCGTTTCAGAAGACAGAAAGATGGCTGAGTGCGGCATGCATACAAATTTCTATTTTGCCAAAACAGACGTCTGCTGCCGGCATATTTCTGGAATATTGCAAAAAGCAGCTTAAAACCTCACTTTCTTGGACAAGGTTATGAAGTGAAGTGAAGTTTTATGCCGCTTTTTGCATTATTCCAGCAATTTCCCAGCAGTTGACAGTAGTCCTGGTACAATACTCTTTAAGACAATTAAGTAAGCAAGAGAGTTATAAAGTGTACATTGTAACAAGAATATTGTGGTTCAAGTTTCATTAAATCAGACCTTTTACTCCAGCACAGTACCTCTCTGTGTCAAGATTGTAAGACACCTCCACAGAAGGTCGCGTCACATCTAAAACAATTTGGCTTCATTTACTCACCAACTCGATTCAGAAACTGCGATCATAACAATACAAAACCACCACAGAACACAATATATATTTGATAGTACGCTCTTTCAGAGTGTAGATGTCCTTGTGCTCAGTGAGTGAGGATGGTTTTACGCCACTTTTAGCAATATGCCAGCAATATCACAGCGGGGGACACCAGAAATGGGCTTCACACATTGTACCCATGTCGGGAATCGAACCTGGGTCTTCTGCATGACAAGCTAACGCTTTAACCACTAGGCTACCCGACCGCCCCCTAGTGCTCAGAATTTGCAGGATGTATCAAATATCCGTGAAATACCATTGCTTTAGTTATTTTCCAATCGGAACTACTTGACTATATTCATTTTCAAGATACAGAAAACAGATATGCTTGCCTGAATGCTACACTTATCATGAATTAATAAGCCTCAATGCTGATTGGCTAATTAGAAAGTTCACCTGACACACCCTCCTAGGGAGTGTCCTCAAATCTTCACACAGATGAGTATCGTTTCCATGTAGAAGATCTGATTTTAATTACACAAATTTTTGTTCAACACAAACATTGAATGAATCATGGAATTAATTCATCTGTTAGGAATGAGTATATGCCACTCTTTGCTATATTCTAGCAATTTCACGACAGGGAAACCAAACATAATCATCACACATCAGAGCTCCAGATAAGCTTTTGGTGTTGTGGGTATTTTACCCATGCATTTTAAAATCACTGGGTATCAGTAATTCTATCTGGGTATTCAAATTTATGTTACCCACTAGCTTTTATACATGTGGGTATTTAAGTTAAATATTTAAAAACAATATTCATCTAGTCCCTGCCAACTGGTGTCGTGTGGGTTCGAGAGCTTTATAGGACTCAAAAATACCACGATACTTCCACAAGAAAGTGTGATGGCAAATGATCATGATGTAACTGTCATCGTGGAGTTTGGCAAGGTTGACGGAATGCCCTTTTATAATTTCAAAATAAGTTGCTGATTTGCGAATCGAATACGCAGGGTTACTTCACAATATTTTGATGATACGCACAAGTTTTAGCGTATCTGTAATGTTCGTTGCATATTTGATACGGTGGGATTTTGTTTTACTGCATATTTCTGCATTTCTGATACGAATTTTATGCAGATACGCAGCTTATCTGGAACTCTGACACATTGCACCCATGTGGGGAATCAAACCTAGGTTATCAGTGTAACGCTTTAACCACTAGGCTACCTGACTGCCCTACATCTGTTGGGTAAGGTAAGTGCAATTAAGTTATAAAATACAAGTGATGAATGTTGCAGAAAAACAAAATATCACACGCAGCAATGTAAACAATTCTAGCTACCCACAAAAATAAAATACAAGCAGCAAATAGAACAGAAGGAAAAAATCAATAATATATATGAAACTTTTAGTCGATCAATAATAATGACTTTCGTAAACATGGTCAAACTTGACGCTTAATTCTCATTTTAATTTGGCATCAGTTATAATTAAATTGATGGTGGTCAATCTGGTAATTGTCGGATTCAAACTCACATTCATAGCATTCTGGCATGCCATAGGGATGTAACTCTGCACAACAATAAACGCAATTACTTACATATTCATAAAAATATTGTCTCTAGGCTCTGTAGCTCACCAGAACAATGAAGAAATAATGGCAGACACATTTAGGTCAGATTGGAACTCTGTGACCATTATTTGTTCAGTGATATCGAGGACTAAGATCTGATTTTAATGAGATTGAAATTGAACCCATATGGGGGAATCAAACCCGGGTTTTCGGCATGACGACCAAACGCTTAACCACTAGACTACCCCCCTACCCCTGTAGTTTCAGAGAAGATGTAGAAAACGTTAAAGTCAACAATAGACGGACAACCACATGGGCAACTGGATGATTGACACAGTGCCACAACATACGTCATTACGTACCGAATCGAATCTTCTGTGTTCTTGTGGATATCAGACATGAGAAGAATATTAAAACGAATTTGGCGATGCTTTAAACAGCATTTCAGTTATAAGGTGAGGTGAGGTGAAATTGGGTTTAACGTCGCGTCCAAGATTATTGCACTTATATAACGACGTGCATGTAAGTGTGTGTGTGTTTGTGTGGCTGCTTGTACTAGTCTGGAATGATGCCGATTTATAGTGCTAGGTCACTGAGATACCATGCCGCAGTTTAACATGAATACCCCACTCAGACACAGTATACTGACTCCAAGCCGACCAGTTCTTGTTTTAGCCCCTTAATGCCGAGCGCCAGACAGGGTAACAACAAGTACCATCTTTTAATGTCTTTTGGTATGACGCGGCCGGGGATCTAACCCCGCACCTTCCGCTCTCCAGGCGGAAGCTCTACCACTAGACCACGGAGGGGGTCATTTCAGTTATAACACAGCACAGCAGCTTAATGTGGGAGGTTAGCCAAAAGTGATGCAGCTTTTTTCATGCTTACACACTTCATTGAAACCCACAAGGTTAGCATGCTGACAAACAAGGAATCATTATCAGGCCAATTTGGCATTCAAATCTATGATCACAGGATCCTGGCATGCCTAAGGTACACAACTCTGCACAAGAACTAAAACACAATGGTAAAACTTCATAAAATTAATTTACTTACCAAATCCATCAATAAATTCCTGAAGAGTAAGAAATCCGTTTCCATCGAGATCCAGTGAATCAAAGACATCCTCCAACATATCTGGAGACAAGGGGAGCTCACTCCGCAGACGTTGCATATCCCGTTTAGAAATAACACCATTTTCCTCTTTATCACACACTTTGAACAGTTCCGTGGCCTTCTGCACCATAATCTCATGAATCTCATCTTGATCCGGCTCCGTCATTTCGTCACTTATCTGTAGCTCCATGTTAAAAATAAACGAACGATGTTTTGATACTTTTCGACTAAAACAGGTTCGCCTTTATGACTTTGGACTAAATCAATAATTTTCAGTAAGAAGAAACTGATGACACTGTTCTTATGAAAAGAATTCCTTGAGAAACCAAAATGGGAGATTTTTTCCAAATAAAATAAAAACCTTTGGTAATATCTACGAGAGAATCATGCAAGATGGCTTCAAAGAACATGCATTATTAACCTTTTACGTTTTACTATCATCTCTAAATTGAAAATCATAAAATTTACACAACTGGAATTGAGGAATCTAAATAAACAAACTGTTTACTCTTTAAATAAACAAATTGTTTACCCTTTAGTGTGCCAATAGTTCCAAAATCTACTGAAAGCTGCCAAGTTGGGTGGAATAGTTGAACAGGTTGCCGCTATCAAAACTCTTGCTTGGGGTGATTATGACAGATAGCTCAGAGCAGCACTGCGCCTGATGTGCATGCATAACATTCCTATAAAGCACCAATCGCCATTCATTATATTATCTCACACCTGTTGTCAGTCAACACCCCTCTGGTAATAATGGAACAGTCAGTTAATATCACAATCAATAAACTACAGAGCTTATTACACATATACGTTGCATAACAATACAGGAATAATATCGTGTGAAAATGTTCGAAATAAAATAAATGGATTTCTTGGCAACAAGTGATAGACTAGTCCATTTGGAATGACAGGGGTGTTGGGTAGTCACGTATTGCACTGTTGATGACTGAAGCGTGACACATTGGCTCTGTCACTGATAGGTCATCTGAAAAGAAAATGAGAAAATTAATAATGAAATGTGGACTTGTGGTATCACAGTTGACTCATTGGATGGTTTTCACTTATCTGTCTACTGCTGTGACATGAATTACAGGTTACAGCCATTGTTTGACACAGAAGTCAGTTGATAACTCTAAGATACAGATTTACCACTCACATCAAACAGAAAGATTGAATCGATGACAGAGTGATAGTTTGAGAATGAATGAGTTTTGGACTAGTGAGTGAGTGGGTGAGTGGGTGAGTGGGTGAGTGAGTGAGTGAGTGGTTGAGTGGTTGAGTGGTTGAGTGAGTGAGTGAGTGAGTGAGTGAGCTGGTGGGTGGGTGGGTGGGTGAGTGAGTGAGAGTGGGTGAGTGAGTGAGTGAGTGAGTGAGTGAGTGAGTGAGTGAGTGAGTGAGCGAGTGAGTGTGAATGAGTGAGTGAGTGAGTGGGTGGGTGAGTGGGTGAGTGGGTGAGTGAGTGAGAGTGCATTAGTGAGTGAGAGTGCATTAGTGAGTGAGTGAGTGAGTGAGTGAGTGAGTGAGTGAATATACTAGAAGATGAACATATGAGTGTGAATACAAGTGGGACAGCGATAAATAGTGGCCCTTAGTGGCCCACACATCTAATGTGCCGCAATTTACACAACAAATGTGCTGGGTTCGTCTTAAGCTTAATTCCTTATGCTAACTGTGGTCCAGGAAAAGCACTTTAAAATGCCCAATACCATTCAAATGAATAGGTTTTCTGTGTGGGCTTTCATAGAGCTGAAGGGGCAGGTCTTGGTAGAACTGTTCCACCCCATCCTCAATGATATAATGATAAACACCCTGAATTTATTTGCTACCTGGCTTCGTTACTGACAATGTGGAAATGTGATGTCACTTCCCAGCAGTGCTATGGTAGTTAAGGTGGGACCAGGGTATTTACTTATCATCATATGGGGGGCACGGGGGGCCCAGTCATCTAAGGTGCAACCATTTGCCATGTAGAGTTCTGTCCCTTAGGTGTGCCAGAAGCCTATGATTGTGAGACTGAATCCCGGTTTGACCTGATCATGATCCGAGGTTTGTCAGCATCACACCCATGCTCTTGGGTTTCACCAAACTGGTGCATCACTTTGAGCTTTCCTCCCACATTAAGCTGACATTCCATGATACATGTATAACTGAAATACAGTCCAAACGATGATAGACCAAGGTGACTTATCTCATCACCTCAAACCAGTTTTCAATACTTCAAGCAACCCACCATGAGTAGTGTTGGCTCAATGCTGCTTTCTATTTCATGATGAAAAAAAGGTTCAATGACACAGCCTAGTAGTTTCCCTGCTGGTCAATCATTCATTGATTATTCATACTCAGCAGTCATTGTGACCAACCAATCTTCAGAATTACAATTCTGGAACCTGTTCCTCCTAAGAATCCCTCAAAGACATATCAACTCCATTTTTTTGTACATTTCAGTCACAAAATTATCAGACACCCTAAAACAGCCAAAAACAAACCATTTCTAATTCCCAAACATGAACAACAGTTCATGGTCATATGAAATGGGAAATCTAAACCATTAAAAATATTTTAAAGCCCCAAGAGCTCATAATTCATCACTGCCTAGTTAATAATAAAGTGTCAGAAATAGCCTGGGGTTCTGTGATCCTTCTTGTTCTCTGCAATGGTATTTAAAGCTAGGGTGTAGTGAAATGGGGTTTCAATTGTGTTCAAGGTTATTTCACTTATATAGCGATGTGCCTGTATCTGATTGTGCTAGTCAGAATTGACACCAGTTTTATAATCCTAGATCACAGCCACAGTTTAACATAGATATCCCACTCAGACACAAAATACTGACTCCAGGCCAACCAGTCCTTGTTTCAACTCCTTAATGCCGAGGACCAGGCAAGGTAACAACAATTAGCTTTAGCATCTTTTGGTATGACACGGTTCGTGGATTGAATCACCAACCTCCCACTCTACAGGCAGATGCTCACACTCCGTCGCAGTGGTGACTCAGCATAACACCACTGCCACAGGCTAATTTGCATATCACGTGACCGGACTTTTCTCTTGTTTGTAAACAAACGCGCTTTTTCAGAAATCAGTATAGAACGGACTAATGCAAGTATTTGGGGGCGCTTTACATATTGTTTTGCATAACTATATAGATATGCTACTACAACTGCGACAGTGAGTTGCATGACAATATATATTTATGCACCAAAGTGACCGTGTCGCTAGCTCTCCGTTGGGCTTCGATGACAGCACGTGGAGCCGTACAACCAATGTAAACATAGGATAACTACGCGAAAACAAGTAGATTTTTACGTATTTGCATACTTTCTCAATGAAAGTTAACCATTCTTTGACATTTGTTTATGAAAATGTGTAGACTTGTCAAACATGAAACGGATGAAAATCATATGCAATATCTTGAATGGACTGTGAAAGATGTGACGAATCGTCACATGGCGCTGGCCTGTGGCAGAGGTACTATGCTAGCTGGCTGCCGGCCGCATGGAACTCTGGGTAGGAGAGTGGCAGATGCTGTATCCACTTCACCGCAAGACAGTTAGGGATCATTAAATCACTAATTTTCAACACTAGTGCTATAAGATGAGAACACCTCATATGTAAGCTTAAATTTGAACCCTGACAATGCGATATCGTACCTACCATGTATACCTGTAAACTTTCTCAAAATCTAGTTCCAGATCACAAGACGTCTCCTAACATCCCAGCTGGCATTCCACACAGTGAGAAGGAACACCAGTGTGATGTATTTATGTTCTGCCACCAGCCCACACAATCCCCCATAATACATACAGCACAAACACACGGATCAATACATCGTTGCATACAAGATGGACAACATCTGGTGGTCCACATCTGCTGGTCTATTACTAAAAGACTATCACTTTTCACTTCACAAAATTTATATTTCACTTGAATAATCAGCTTTTTCTGTATACTAATTTCTCCTGGGTGTCATAATCTCAGATTGCACGATATGTTACAGGTTTGACGAGCCCCATAAAGCTACGTGCTTCCAGGGGAAGTATTACACTGTCACTATCACAGCAAGTCACAAATACAACATGACACCAACACAACATGACACCAGCATGACACCAACAAAACATGACACCCAGACAACATGGCACCAATATGACACCAACACAACATGACACAGACACAACATGACACCAACACAACATGACACCAGCATGACACCAACACAACATGACACCGACACAACATGACACCAGCATGACATCAACACAACATGACACCAGCATGACATCAACATGACACCAACACAACATGACACAGACACAACATGGCACCAACATGACACCAACACAACATGACATCAACATGACACCAACACAACATGACATCAACATGACACAGACACAACATGACACCAACACAACATGACATCAACATGACACCAACACAACATGACACAGACACAACATGACACCAGCATGACACAGACACAACATGACACCAACATGACACAGACACAACATGACATCAACATGACACCAACACAACATGACACAGACACAACATGACACCAGCATGACACAGACACAACATGACACCAACATGACACCAACACAACATGACATCAACATGACACCAACACAACATGACATCAACATGACACCAACACAACATGACACCAACATGACACAGACATCAACATGACAACAACACAACATGACACCAACACAACATGACACCAACATGACACAGACACAACATGACACCAACACAACATGACATCAACATGACACCAACACAACATGACACATACACAACATGACACCAGCATGACACTAACACAACATGACACCAACATGACACAGACACAACATGACACCAACATGACACAGACACAACATGACACCAACACAACATGACATCAACATGACACCAACACAACATGACACTAACACAACATGACACCAACACAACATGACAAAGACACAACATGACATCAACATGACACCAACACAACATGGCACCAACACAACAAAACACCAGCATCACACCAAAACAACATGACACCAAAACAACATGATACCAACACAACATCACACCAACACAACATCACATCAAAACAACATGATACCAACACAACACCACACCAAAACATGACACCAAAACAACATGACACCAAAACAACATGACACCAAAACAACATCACACCAACACAACATCACACCAACACAACATCACACCAACACATCACACCAAAACAACATCACACCAACACAACATCACACCAACACAACATCACACCAAAACAACATCACACCAAAACAACATCACACCAACACAACATCACACCAAAACAACATCACACCAAAACAACATCACACCAACACAACATGATTCCAACATGACATGATACCAACACAACATCACACCAAAACAACATCACACCAAAACAACATCACACCAACACAACATGAGATTCCAACATGACATGATACCAACACAACATCACACCAAAACAACATCACACCAACACAACATGATTCCAACATGACATGATACCAACACAACATCACACCAAAACAACATCACACCAACACAACATGAGATTCCAACATGACATGATACCAACACAACATCACACCAAAACAACATCACACCAACACAACATGATTCCAACATGACATGATACCAACACAACATCACACCAAAACAACATCACACCAACACAACATGATTCCAACATGATACCAACATGATACCAACATGACATGATACCAATATGCCAAACAGTGACAAAAGCCAGACAACAACAGGCCAGCGACCTGCGTCCACACCTGACAAGCTGTATACAACATACCTCTACTTCCTGGACACCTACAGCCATGTTATGACATAAGCTTGACATATCCTCCAGCACAACCATCAAAGGTAACCAAGTGTGTCTTCCTACAGGCAAGACTGTGGCCCATTCAGGGGCTCCCCAATAACTCAGCCCTC